ATTATAAAACATTTACAATGAAGAAAAACATGCTAGGCCTTTATTTCAAGTTTCAAATTTCAGACTAACCTCTTTTTCCTTTTCGCCTTTGTAACTATTCAAAGTGAAATTTTTGAATTTTCACTCAAAAAACCTAACTAAAACCTCAACAGGTCTCACCTTCTTTTTCATTCTCCATGACCGACACCGACACCGACTATACCCCTCCTCCTGTACCTCCAAAAGACGATCTTCGTCCGATGACACCTCCAAAAGACTTCCCCAGAATAAGTGCTGAGGGTTACGCTACGGTTGGTGCATCCACCTCAACGGCAACTTTTGAAGTTCCTCATTCAACCTCAAATACCTTTCCTGGTGCAAAGGGAACAAACAAAAATTTAACTAACCAACTTACCTCAACTTTGGACGAAATATTTGTTGAACCAAACATTGTTACCGAAAATACTAATAAAGCATCTGTTCCCCACGAACCTCGAGTGTCCAAAAATAAGCCAACCAAAAGTTCTGAAAATGTATTCTCGAGAATTTCTTGGTGGTTAAGTTGGGGTAGACTAAAGCCTAAAAAGAATCATCCTTCCAATAATAAAATTAATAACATTCATAATCATAATGATAATAGTGATAGTAGTAACAATGACAATTTGATAACACCATCATCATCACATTCAACGAGAGCAGTAATTCCATCGTCATCCTCTTCTGGTGGTAACGGTGACGATCCAGTTGTTACCACCTCCTCAGATGAAATCCCTGTTGCTCCCGAACCCTCAATAAAAGTTACAGACCCAGATCTTATAACCAATGATGCCAAAATTGATGAACTTCCAAAAGTAAAAAAATCAAACAGTATAACAAATCTGTTTCGCAGACTTAGTTATCGAAAAAGAAGTGAGAGGGAAGAGAACAGCAGTTCAAGTGTGATGACCGAAGATCAATCTTGCAATGATAATAATTTTTCGACGATACCAAGAGCGAAAGTAAAAAATAAAAAAAGTAATTTTGGAACTTTGATTGAGAAGTTGAATCGTAAGTTCTCTTTTACCAATGACCATCATCGTGATACCGAACAATCCGGTTCCGGCAAAAATCAAACCAACAACGAAATCAACAGTAACGGCAACGGCAGCACCAGAATTTCTTCGAAACCTCCAAGGATTGATTGGTCCCTGTCTTCCGGTAATAGAAAGATTCTAAGGAAACCGGATCTAAAACAGAAACAAAAAGAAATACTGGTTGACATTAATGATTTTAGAGCTTCCACTTTATTCCCTGATGAATCTCCATTCTCAAGCCTTCAGGAAACTTTGGACGTTAACGTTGCTGCCTCTTCCAGAAATTCGGTTACTAAATCTTCGGTTTCCTCGGAACGTGCCGACGACGACACGATCAAGGGTGTCTCGGGAACAATTCGTCGTCGCAGTCGCATATTTGACTTATTCAACCCAAAGAGTTCGTCGACCTCAACTCGTGGAAGTCAAATAAATGTCAACGGCGTTAATCTTCGTCACGATAAGACGAATTCGAATAATGTGAAAGGTTCATCGTCATCGCTCTCGTCATCATCCTCATCAATAATTTTAACACACCAACAAGAATCCTCTTCATCACCTAAGAATCAATTATCATCTTTAAGCGGAGTTACCAGTGATATGCCAGATTATCTAGAATTCAGGAGTTCGAACTCAAACCTTGACATGCAATATAGCAATATGGAAATAACGTCTAGAGAAAACCTAACATCCAACAATATTACCAAAGGAGATAAGAATAACAATAATAAGTCACCTTTTCGTATCTTTAAGAAAAAATTTTACAAGAGTCTGTTAACCTCTCACCCCTCCACGTACATCAATAACACACAAAACAAAAAGTATATCCCTGTGACGAATTCAATCCCGATAATCGTTGGGATACCGCCATCACCAACAAAATCAATCGCCGCCACGACCGATCCCGCGACAAATGGTTATTATGAAGTGACTAACGCCGGGTCAATGCAAGTGGAGCATGCCTCGTTGGACAGAAAAATTGAAGTGGAAGATGAAGGTGACGAAAGTGGTAAAGATGAGGATGACGAAGATGACTTTGACGAGATTGATGACATCACGCTTGACGATGGTGAGGAAGGGGATGTTTCCGCCGCTCAATCACAGGCACCAGATTCAAGTTTATACACGACCTCAGATGCGGCATCTCGTAAGCGATCATTGTCCCGTATGTCATCATTCGCAAAATCGTTTAATTCCGATGATCCTTCGGCCTTCGGCACCGCATTTTCGAATCACGATGAACCAAATTCTGATTACGCATTGGAAAACGCGTGGGATGCTCTCATCAATCTTCCTCTCACCGATAATAAAGGTCCGGCCAGATTAAGCAACAGCCATCTATCATATATTCCAAGTCATTTCTTCGACGGACTTCACAATCTCAATGAACTTTA